GGCGCGCTGCTAATTTGGACAACGATGCGTATGCGTTACGTATGTATGTATGTACATATGTACTTCTGCGTGCTGCGCATGTGACTCAAAGAAAAGAAACTAACAACAACAACAGCACGCCAACGCATTCTTACAACAACATTTAACATTTATTTACATATGTATATTTTTTTTCTGCCTCTGCGTTGCTGCTCTATTCACATTCACTCAATCTCCCTCTCTCTCTCACACACTTAGTCCGTTGCTGCTCGTTTTCACTAACCGCTCTGCTTGTGCGTTTGATTTTATAGAAACATTTATACGTACAATTTTATGTTTGTTTGTGTGACAGTAATTTGTTGCTTTTATTGTTTAGAATAATCTTGCGCTTGATAATGAAAATAGGTCAAATTTTAAAAATACTTTGGATTGCAACAACAAAAAAATACGATGTCAGCGACTGAGTAAATATAGTGGCTACGTGCATACACACAAACATGCATAGATATGTATGTATGCAGGCACTAAGAGAAAAAAAGTTGTACAAAACGATTGCGTTAATAGACAACGAGACAAGCAAAGGCACATACATTTAGATTTGGACATACAGTGTCGGTGAAAAATGGAAGAATGGTGTTTCGTTTTTAATATTTACAATGTTTTTCAAGTTAAAATTTTTTTGATATATTTTATAAAAATATGGTTCATTCTTTAACAAAAACCTTATAAATCACACTTTCAAACTTTATAAAGGAGTTAGAAAAATTCCATGAACTTCAATCTAAAGTTCGAGCTTTTTAACCAGAATTTTTTAAATTTTTTGGGTATGCAGTTAACAGGATTATAAAATTATAGTAAAATTAATGCAAGTTTTGAGCGCATAAACATCGCATTAATGTAAATTTTTTTTTGCTGAAGACTTTCTTTTTTTTTATTTAAAAAACAAAATTTAGGAAAACTGACGTTGACTATTTTTTATTTTTTTCGCAAAAGATCTTGCGCACATTCCTATAAAAAAATTCATGTTTATACGGAAAAAAGTTCAAAACGCCATCAACAAAAAAAAAAAGATTAAAAATCAATGCGAGTTTTTAGCCGCGAAAAACTTGCACTAATTTTACTAAAATTTTTAAAAAATTCTGGTTAAAACCTCGAAATTTATATACATTTTTTTTCTAAATTCTGTATAAAGTTTGAAAATGTGATTTATATGTTTTTTGTTAAAGCATGTACCATATTTTTATAAAAAATATTTAAAAAATTAAAGCTTGAAAAATATTGGAAATATTAAATACGAAGTGGATGACTGCCACTTTTGACCACCACTGTACATACATACATAGGTACGCGTTTTTGTTTTTTATTTGTCCAACTATGCAGTCTATGTAAACTTAGAATTAAATTAAAGGGTATGTATATATGAATATTTCTAAAAGCACGTCAATTTACAGTAGGTATCGGTCATACATATCTATAGCACGCCATTTCAAAGAAATATTGTTTGCCACTTATGTTTTTTTATTTATTTTTAAGAATTTTCATTTAAAACACAGTTCTTTCGCTTACAAAACCCATATAAACCCATGTTAAAAATTCTGTAGAAAACCCCAAAAAAATTCAACAAATTTTCACCCAAATTTCAAACTTTTTTTCAGAAGGGTAAGATTTTTTGAATATACAGGTTTATAGCCCATTCGAATGGCTAACTTTGATTGTCTAGACCAGGCATACCCAGCGCAGGGCACATGCATATGGAATTCTGCCAACGTTGGGAATGACTGGTCTAGCCGCTTGCTCTGTCATTAATTGCAGCATTAAGACATGAGTCGAAGACTAATTAATCTCCATCTGTGCCTTAAGACTAGTTGAGACCAGTGATGGGCATACTTGCTAGTGATGTGCTGAATTGTCGGCACCCAATACTGGTTACCCAATACTGGTTACCCAATACTTGAAAAAAATGTCGGTACCCAATACTTTCTTTTCGGCATCCGATACCGATTCGATGCATCAAACTTTCGTCATAATGTGTGTACATACACTTTAAGTTTAGAAAAAAATATTTTATTGCTACTTAATATGACATTGCCTAAAAACCCAAAAAGTACAAATAAAATGATTCTTTCTCAAAAGATGAGCAGTGTTTATTTATGTATGTATATATGTAAATATGCACAGAGTTAAGTGAAGCAAGCATAATATGGGCGGGGAACAAGTATATCAACGACTTCTCGACAATACTACTACGGCGTAAACAACGCTCTCGCCTTTTTGTACTGTACCTATCGCATGCATTACGATTTGCTTTTTGGCGACGATCGTTCCAAGCTTACGATTAAAAAAAAAAAAAATTTCACAAAATATACGAATTTGTGAGAATTGCCCATATGTATGTATATAGGGAAAACTTGAAAGTGAGGGGTGAGGCTCCAACCGCTTTTTTATGTTTTTTCAGGACTTTTCGGGTTTCTTCGTACTATATTTTTCCGCATATTTCGCCGAAATTTTTTTGTACTTTTCAGCGTGGCTGGGTTATTTCGGAATTCTCGTGATTATCAAGACTTCTCGGAATTACAGCCCGACCGTCGACTCTTGTGAAATTGAATTCTCTAGTACGAGTTGTGCTCTTGCTTAAGACAATCACCTGTACCTAGATTAACAAATTCCAAAATAATCACAGCCGCCCAACAATAAATTTTCATCAGTAAAAAAAAATGCCTACCCTGAGGGGTATAGAAAGGGCAGAGAAAGAGGAAACAACGCCATGCTTAACTTTTTCCAGTTAAGCCCAACAAAATCTGCACTTGGAAAGCTCTGGCAACCAGTTTCTTTTAAAGCAGCGATGGGCACGTGCCTATACAAAATGTATAGAAAGCTGAAAAGAACTTCGCTCGCAGGCAAGGCAGTGCCCATCACCGTTTTAAAGTCATAAGCTTGATAAGCTTTCGAGAATTACGTAAGAAGTGAATGAATAGACAAGTAGGAATTTTTCTTGTACGCAAAGCAGCGGTGGCCGAAATGTAGCGTGAAAAGAGAGCGATTAGTCTGTGGGTGTACATATAAGTATATGAGCATGGATCAAAAGATATTCCACGGGTGTAACTTTTTAAACTTTATAAAGTTTTTACTTGGACACACACAGCGTAAAAGCTCTCTCTTCACATTGCAGGTCGATGTAAAATGTAACTAAAGTTTCATAAAACCTCTGCCCGTGCGCTAAGTTTTGGGCAGCACTGTTTGTGTAAATATTAGAAAGCATTAATTTGAGAAATGTGTTTTTGTTTTTGTAAAAATTGTGAAATGTTGTTTTTTAAATATAATAATCAATAATATAATATCAGACACGAGTATTAAATAGTTTTGTTAGATACTAAAAATTATAACTAAGAATTAATTTATTTGCAATTTACCTATGGACGTCATGATTTATCGAAAATTTCGACTTTTTTTTTGCCAAAATATAAATTTTGAAGAAAAGTTTTGTGGCAGCGGGAGAGATCTTCAATTCTGTTGCATTATTTGGGTTGTGTGGTTTTGGAGGCAGGAAAATTTGCAAAGCCAATTCGGGGGTGCATGAATTTCGGGTGAACAGTGTTGATTTTTGTGTCCTTTTTATTTGTGATATAAATGTTCCATCAGCCAATTTGCTCTTACAAGTTTTTTATAAAAGTTTGGAACATTTCTTTTGGAATAAATGTTTTTTGTTACCAATTTCTGCTGTGTTCTTAGCTAATGAAAAAATAAATTTTTAGATTAATGCAATTTTTCTTTTGATTTTTTTTTTGGGTTTGCCAATTTTTTGTTGGTGGTTTAATTTCGATATTTTTTTTTTTTGTTTTCAAGAGCCAATTCTATAAAATTTGACTTCGCCAATTTGCATTAATTTTATATTTTTCACTTCTGTACTTTTAAGTTCACCTAAAATCTTTACCAATTTTGGATTTTTTAAATTTTGTTTTTGAAAATAAAATATTTGTATTTTTTTTTTTTTAATTTCAGATATTGTTTAATACGAGAAGGCATATATACTACATGTTTTCCGTATAAATACGAAACTTTTGAGCATTCTTGTATTGGTTTTATTGTTAAGCCCAATTTATATGGTTTGGTGGTTAGGTTAGATTGGGTTGGTGGTTTGGTTTGAATGTGTGTATAATTTTTCATTGTGTTGAAATTTTGAAAACATTTTTTTTTAATTTTTTCACCGCACTGTTTTACGATTTTGAAAAATTCACAAAAGTGAAATTAAAAAAAAAAATTCTTTCAAATAGGACATGAATTTAAAAAAATATGATTGGATATATTTGGTTTTAGAAGGCCATTTATATGAATGTGTGGTTTTGTGTACTTGTAATTTTGAAGAATTTCAAAAACATTTTAATTGAAAACAATTTTTACGCAATTTTACGATTTTCGAAAAGTTCGCGTGTTATGAGTTTGAAGAATACCAATAATTAAAAGTCGGCTGCTAAACAGTTATTTTTTTCGTGTTTTTGAATGTGGAAATTTTCAAAATAAGTTGTTGAGACTTTTGCATTTTTACGATTCTGGAAGCAATTAATAAATACTTGGTTTTGTGAATATTTATTAAAAAAAAAAAAATGTCAACGAATCTTGTTGGTTATTAGAAGCCAATTTATGTGGATTTGTGGAAAGAGTGCACAAGTTTTCTACTACTGTATTTTTGAAATATTAAAAAAAAATGTTTTTTTTTTGATTCTGTAAAAAAAATCGTTTTTAGAAGCCAATTTTTTGGTGATTGAGTTTGTTGCTTGCACCAACTTTTTATAGTTTGAAAAAGTTTTAAAAAATGTGTATTTGTGTGCAAAAACAGTTTTTTTTCTATAAGAATTTGAATTTTTAATTCCTTTTGTTTTAAAGCTGCTTATTCGTACGTGTTGTCAACTCTCACAAACCGTTTTATTGCCAATTAAATTCTTTGAAAATATGGTAAATTGCATTGTATGTAAAAATGTGAAAAATAAAATTATTTAAAAAAACGTTTCTTTTATTATACTAACGGCAAATCGGCATGCGCGACTTTTTCCGATAGTAGCAATTGTAGTTGTTGTAATGTATATTGTTGTTGTTATTGCATTTGCTACATTTTGCCGCACTGCCGCCAGTAGCATCAGCCGCAGTTGACTCTGTTGTTGCTGTCGATATAGCTGTTGGCATTTTATGCAGAAAGCTGTGTGACGACGACGCCTGCGATGATGGAGAGGGCGGTGGTGGCGGCTGTGGTGACGGTGGCGTCGAGCGCTCATCTTCCCCATTGAATGCCGTATGCTCGACGAGTGTGGGTGACGCTTGTTGTTGCTCGCCTTCTGCCTCCTCGTCGTCATCATCTCTACCGGCGCAGCAGTTGTGACCACACTCATTGGTGGCGCTGGCGGTGGCGCTGGCGTGCGCCTGGCTGCTGCAGCATGCCGACACTGTGTGTGCGGTTGAGGGTGCCCCTATATGAGTGCTACTTCCATACCCGTGTCCATTTCCATTCCCACTGCCATTTCCGTTGCCATTTCCGCTTACACTGCTGCCGCTGAGCGCGCTATAGCCGCTACAGCGCTTCAGTAGCGTCTTTGTGAGTGGTGTTTTTATGATTGTGGCTGTGTGAAGTCGCCCATAATCGCCTTCATCTGCTGGGGACTCAGCGCGTTCGCCTTCACCCTCAATTTGCCCTCTCTCTTCACCTTCTTCACGTACATCCAGATTCCTAGGTGGCGATTCTCCACCACATTCCGGTTTGTTGTCACCCACAGCGCTGCTGCTGTTACTATTGCTACTGCCATGTGGGGTTGTTGTTGCTGACTTTTCACCATTTACGCGGTGATGCTGCCAGCTATTCGTTGGCGTCTCTCTGCCATCCATGTGCTCATCACATTCTCGATATTGTCCATTCTGTTTCGGCTCATAGCCCACTCCTCCACTGCTTTTGCTGCTATCTTCTTTCACATCCGGTTTACCAGCAGCTACACTCTTCAAATGTTTAGCAATTTTCTCGTGTTTCCCCAGTACACTCAGATTCATGGATTCGTCAGCAACATCGATGTTGCTGGTGTTGCCAGGGCTGTTGTTCTTGTTAGTGTTGCCTGTTGTGATCGCTGTTTTTGCTGCCACTTCCGACGCCAACTGGTTGGCATTCATTGGAGTTGGTGGTTTTTATTGTTGTTCTATTTGTTATTTACTTATTGCGTTGAGTTTGATTAAAATGTTGCGCATTGCAGGGCATGTTGCGCAACATGTTGTTGGGGTGTTATTTAGCGATTGTGACGCCATTTCTAGGTAGGGTAACGCAGCAGCGTCGAAAACATTTTGAAATTTTTACTGCTGTGCGTTGAAAATGCAGACTTTGATTCTAATAGTTTTGAGAATTATTTAAAGGGTTTGTTGAAAACGCTTTTATTCTATATTCGTGGTTTTCTTTTTAAAGCAGTAATACTCTCTTTTTAAGGCAGTTTTGTTCAGTCTTAAATTTATTTTTAAGTTTTATTTTTAATTTCAAACGAGTTGCTTTAGTTTCTATATTTTTATTTGATAGAATACCCAGCTGACGACAGCTTTTACCAAAGGCTCAGAAAACGATAAAAAAGTTTTAAAAATTGTTGAAAATCTTGCAACTTACATAATATTTTAATTTTAATTTCTTTTAATAACCCACAGTTTAAAAAAACTTAAGTATTTTTCTGCTACTTTCATCAAAATAAAAAAATTATCGAAAGGTTTTCATATAACGATCTCATAACCCACACACCGTACTAAATTGCGTACATTTGAAAGTAGTTTGAGTGTTTTTAAAATTTTTGTATTTGATCAAAGTCTCTAACTTTTGTAAAATATCAAAAGCACCCAAATTTTTGAGACTGAAAATAATAAAGAAATATTAAAAGCTACAGCATTTTTATTTTTTAGCATTTTCACTTTCCAGTAAAAAGAGCAAATTCTGTTCAGCGGTTTTCGCTTTTTTAATTTTGACTTGAGAAGGACATATACTGGTCCCATAAGATTTTCTTTAAATTTCTAAAAAAAATTTTAGTAAAATTTCTCTTTGACAATTTTATTGAATTTAAGACCGTTTTCGATGAACATATGCACATGCACATGCATATGTATATGTTTCTGAATTTCTAAAATTTCTAAATTTTCTTTTTTAGCTCAAAAATTCGAACATATTTTATCAAATTCAGTTTCCATCTATCTCTGACTTTAAAAAATCTTTTCTGAGTTTTTCGATACAATTTTAAAAATTTGCGAATTCAAGTTTTTATTAAACTGTGCTGAAAATATTTGACATGATTACCTATATTGAGAAATTTTGAATTACAACTTTGAAATAAATAAAATATTTTAAAACTTCAAAAACCTTAAAGTATCGAAAAATATAGAATTTTCTTAAGTTTTGGAGGAACTATTGAAAACTTATAAATTTTTTTAAGCTTGAACTTTTTGCTATTTTTTTTTTTAATTTTTATGTAAATAAAATTCGACTTGAATTAAGGGAATTGCCTAATTAAAGTTTGCATCACAATTTGGGTTTCAGAAGGTTTAAATTTGAAAATATTTTGAAGAGGGTATAATAAAAGCAAAATGTAAACATCTGTTAATTCTTAGCTCAGATAAATATGTTGAATTTAACTGAAACATGCAAAAATTGTATACACTCAGCGAAACGGGTGAGGGCAAACTAATCTTTAAATCCAATTTATTACATTTTGAGCTATATTCAATTAAAAATTTTCAATCATTTCAATTATGCTTCCTTTCGGGAAGTTAAGGCTTCATTTCCATAGCTTTTCCTAAAAAACATAGATTTTTTGAACATTATTAAATTTTAAAATTTAATTCCTGCCACTTATCGAAGTGTAATTTTTTTGTTTTTACATCTATAAAAAAATGTGTGTATTAAATAGAAACAACAAAACATTTTTCAAACATAGCAGAAAAATACTTAACGAATTTAAATCTTAAAACTGTTTAGATACTGATATTATCTAATTTTTCTTAAATAGCAATTTTTTTATGAAATCTTTTTTCCATTAATGTATAAAAAAAATATTTGCGTGCTTTACCTTTGAAGATTCATATGTATTTACACACCCAATTTTTTTTTAAATCTTTCCACAATTGTTTTCTTCTCTTCATTCACTTAAACCATTTTCATAATTTTCTACCGCTCCATGTAGTGAAATTGTAATTTTTTTATTCCGAAATTAATAGTTTTTTACACTATGCTTGCAGGTTGCGTTATTCGGAGTTTTTGGATTTTTTTTTCCAAATAAATAATATAGCTTTTGGAGGCAAAATTTTATTTTTTTTTACACTTTCTTTGTCAACTAACCAATCGTCTTTAGACCCATTAATTTGAAGACTTCCTAACTCAAATCTTCAAGTTTTTAACTTAAGCAAATTTTATGTGTTTATATCCTTTGTTCATCAGGTGCATCTGTCTTATTCTTTTCACTTGCTATCTCTTTCTTACATTAAAATGCTGGTTCTCTGTCACTTTGCTATTTTCTTCTCCCTCTCTTTCTGTCACTTTTTCAAGCGAACTCACTGTTTTCTGTAGCAACAACAGCGCGTGGTGTGAGCTTTCGCTTAATTCTCTTCACATAAAGTGTTTCACTTAAAAAAGCTTTCACACTCGCCAGGTGCAGTTCACCGTTGTTGAGCCTACCAGTCTGATTTTTTCTTTTTCTTTTTTTTTCTTTTTAAATTTTATCTCATTCAGTTTTAAATTAAAGTATTAAATTATTAAGATTTTCATTATTTTCTAAGTTCATGCCAAACACTTTCGTTCAGAGTTTTCTTTTCACACAAAAATGCTCCCAAAGGCATAGCAAAATATTTGTAGAATTTTTATGCACTAAACTTTTTGTTGCACTCTTTGCAGCCTCCTTTATCCATTAAGTCTGTATTGTATATTTTTCTTTTATGTTTTGAGTGAGAATTGCACTTATTTTTTTATTATGAAAAATTCACTATTTTGTTAAACTTTTCTTTGCGTATATTCAGTCTTTAACTTTTCCTAAAAAGATCTTCTTATCTCGTATTTGAAATGTGTATAAAAATGCAAAATTGTTGAACAGTTTCTCCTCTACACTTATCGAACGTTTTTTTTTTCACTCTCAAAAGCTTCCACTCTTCACTCACAAAAGTTTAAACCGCACTCAGCTGCGTTCCTTCAATGGATCGCAGCTTTCGTTGCATTCTCGAATATTCCAAATCAATGGGTATGCCTTTCTGGAAAAATTGTTTCCAGATTTTTTGGATTTTCGAAGCACTCATTGCGCTTTTGAGTTAACTGTTTTTCATTTACTTGTTCACCACAAAAAATGCCTTGTAAAAATGCAGTCTTTTAACTTCCCTCGATTTAAGTGTAAATTTGTTTCTACAAAAGGGACGTAGGACGGATTCAAGTCGGGTTGGGTGTTTACATTAAATTTTTTTTTTCACTTTTGCTGAATGTGTACTTTTTTCATGTAGATTTTATTAAACGAAAATTGTCACTTTCAGTCAAATGCTGTTAAGGGTTTGGGGAAATGTAAATTCACTTCAAATTTTGTTGATGGAAATATTTTTTAGATTTTTTTTTTTTTTGTGACTGTTTTTCATCCAATGAGGGCTTTATCTTTTGTTATAGATTTATTTGTTGTTTTCTTCCTAGCTGTCAGTGAAAAAAATTTTGGTGGGCAAGACAAAGAAATACTAGGATTGTATACATACATATACATATGTGCGTACATATGTATGCATGTACCTACATTTTCGTTTTTTATATTTTATGAGAATTATTTGCGAAGTTAAAAAATGTGTAAACATGTATATGTACATACATACATACATATGTGCAAATATATAAAAAACAACAAAAAAAATTTAAAATTTATCACTGAAGCTTAAGATTCAAAATTTTATAATTGATTGAAAATGTTGTATAGAACAAACGTAAAAATTTTACGTTTTTATAACAAATAATTTTATTAGATATATTTTAAGTATGTATTTAAATAAACTTTTTTTTTGAGAATTAAAAATTTGTAAATATATATTTTTTTAATATAAACCATACATATTTACACAATAAAAAAATTAACAAAAACTTAAGTCGAAAAATTTAAATTTTCTATAATTTTTTTAATTTTCAGCATTTCATAACAAGCACAACTTTGTCAAAAATTTTGTAAAATCTGAAAATTAAAAATTTTAAACTGTTGATAAAACCTATTTTTTTGATTTAGCAAATCTGAAAATTCTTCAATAAATTTTCGTTAAATCCTTGTGGTTCCTAAATTTAATATTTTTAATTAAGCAAAAATCGCTTAGATTTTGCCCATGCTTGAGTTCAATGATTCATGAGCATGAAAACAAAAACCAAAACAAAAAAATATTCCAGCACATTCATATCATAGCAATCAAGAACAACAATTATGCAACTTAAAAAATTCCAAACGTATGAACAACTTTTGTGGCCAAACATATTTATTTGATGCAAACAACAACTGTGTTATTGCAGCACCGTTACTCGGCAAGATTTAACCAAAGCACAAACAACAACAACGAAAAAAGCTGATGCAACATGGTGTCGTTGGCGAGAAAATTGTCGATCGTCGAATAGTCGTTGACCGCATAGAATGATGTAGAAGCGCAGCGAAGGTGCACATATGTACATATATGTACATTTGTATGTAAGTCTGCATAAAAATACACACACACACCAAAAAAATAAAAAAATTGTACACCTCTATGGCAAAATTATCTGTATGCAGCATTGGCGGAATTAAAAAATATAATTGTTTACACTTTTTCGTGGAATTTGAAGCCCTCTGTCGTCACTGCTCTGACTTTAAAACAATGGCTATTGATAATATAAATTTGAATATTTTTTTCTGATTTTCATTTAGGTTTTTGATCGATTTTCCTTTGTTTCTATAAAAAAAAATTTGTTTCTCTATTTTTTTTTACTCGCGGTCAGGCCTTTATTCGCCCTCATTTAATCCTTTTTTTTAAGTTTCGTCATTTTTCTTGATTTGGTCTTCTTTTAATTTTTTATTGCACTCTTTCATTTTAAAAATTATTATAACAAGAATACTTATTAATTTTTTTTTTACTATTCCAATGTTTTTAGAGACAGTTTAAAATGTTTTCTGTCACACTGCGCTACGCCAAATATCCATCAACCGCTACGCTAGCCATTGCTAACGGTACTGCTTGTAGCGCCAACAACAACGACGACATAACTGTGCGCTGCTGCTTCATATCACTTTTTTTGTCTTGCCTTTGGTTTTTAACAATCACTGCGTTTTGTTTTTGCACTATTCATTATTCATATTTTTGAGTAAAAAAGAGTTATTTTTATAGGATAAAATTTCTATGCAAGATAATAAAATTTATGGAAACTTTTTATATATTAATTATAAAAAAATTTGTTATTAATATTTGTTTTACATATTTTTGAATTAAGATCTTGTTCGCGTTATCTTCTGACGAAAATAAAGCATTTCTTCTCAATGTATTTCGTTGGATATTTTTGTTAATTTTTTAAATTTTTATTTATTTTCAT